CAATTAATACTGATATATAATGTCGCTCTTATTCTGAAGTTGTAGTGATTCCACTAATAAAGTGATGGATCTGATGACTAATTAACCCCAATTTCAAACTTCATGCCCTTTCGCCAAAGCAGACGATTCAGAATTTTTTTTTTTTTTGTGAATTAGAAATTATATAAAAAAGGCTGAGTTAAAGAGACAGTGCAACAAAACATTTAAATTGTCATAATTAATTTACTCAACCTCCTGTCTTGCACAATTTAGATGACTTTCTTTCTTCTGTGGAACAGAAAAGAAAATATTCTGAAGAACTTTACGAGAATATTTTTTTAAACAACAATAATGGCCATAATTAAAAAAAAAAAAAAACTATTATAAAAGGCGTCCATATGATTCATGCACCAGGGAGAGAGAGAGAGAGAATGAGAATAACTAAATTTTGTAAGAGGATTAACAAATCAGTGTGCATCAAATCAGTCAGTCAATGAGAAATTAATGCGAGTATGCAAAATATCAAGTAGGTCCAAGGTGTGAAACTACAGAATTTTGCTCTGAATTTGTAGGAAACTCAGTAGAATCCTTTCAAATTAAAGTCCCGTGGTGAAAATTAATCTTTTAAATATTGTTTATATGTCTACGTGGTGTTTTTAATATGCTTTAAGACAAACCATGCGCACATTCATAATTTATATTCTCTTTAAAACTGCAGTGACATCTAAAGACAGTCTCAAAAACGCGGTTTGAAATCGCTGGTGTTTCTGAAGTCACAAACCTTGTAACAAATCAGGTCAACGTGTGATCGTCAACGAGTGAGGCAAGGGTGTAAAGCTACATTCAAGTTATTTTAAGGCATGGAAACATTTTTTTTAAAGGAAATAACCATTTAAATATGTCATTTCGGTGATCAAAGATGCGTTTTAAGGGATAAAATGATTGACTAGGACTTGTAGGAGCTGAGAGTAGTGCACTCTTATTAGCTGGAAAGCATAATCAAATAAATCCAAATGTTTCATAAATGGATCGGCAATGGATTAATTATTTCTAGAAATTTGTAAAAGATGGGTGTTTCAATTCAGTGGCCGATGATTCTGTGTGGCCCTGAGAGAATGAATGAATGCTTAAATGAGCAAACTCTCTAAGTGCACCTACAGGACAATTCCAGCACACATGCAGTACAAATTAGGTTTCCAGGGGAACTAAAACAGTAATAACTTTCTCCTGTGTGTATGTGTGTACATAATATAGCATCTGTATGCTACCGGGCTCAAATCGCATTACAGCGCTTGGCTCCGGGGCGGCAAATCTCTCTTGTGTCTCTGTTCAACCAGAACAGAATTAATAAAGAGAAGATCCACAGCTGCCGAACACCAGAGCCCACGCCATCAACCTACTACACTTTCATTATTCACAATAATCTCATTCTGTTCCAGAGACCTCATACTGTATTCAGTGCACAGCAATATAAACAATGAACCTGGTCTCAGTCCCACAGGTCTGATCGTTTCTAATGCAATTTCACAGGTTCACATTCCTGTAAAGTATACGAGGAATGTAGAAAGGGACAGGTGTATTTTTCGGTCTGTGATGGATGGGCTTAAGTATTGTGGTTGTAAAACCAACTCTAAGCTCCACCCCTGACAGATCGTAAGAGCTACAATGGAGGCTACTGATCTATTTATATGGCTTAACTCCATGATATGTACATATTCACCTAAAAATAAATATATAAATGAGGAATTTTTGCTAAGATACTTGACATTTCTCTGTGCACGTTTTTGTTACGCGTAATCAGAATGCTTGCAGTGTTTTTACCCAGAACGGTTATGAACTACTTTAATAGCTCTTTCTGTTTCACCATTGGTTTCTCTGTTCATGCTGATTATTGAGGAATATTTCCAAATAACAAGTAGTATTTGTTTTGCATGCACACACATGGCTTACACAATTCAGGTGAAAATATGAGATAAACACTTAATTTTTTTTTATTAAAACCCTGTGCACTACCACTGTTCAGACCTCTGACCTGATTCTTGTTCATTTGAATTATTCTGTCCCATTTTCATGCATAATAAACACAATTAGCTCCCCCTCCCTAATGACTCTAAAAAATAACCAAGCCAAGTTGCATGCAGGAGAATATTAATGAAGCCCAGAATGTATGTTGGAGAGAGATAGGAGTGGGCTGGATTCATGAATGTTGAAGTATATGTAATAGAATAGATAAGAAACTGAATATACATAGAAGTTGTATTCCGTCCATGAATACAAAAAAGAAACAAGGAATAAGTTTCAAAACATGGTTCGCGGGCACGAGTGATAGAGAGGGAAGCTGTAAAAATAGAACAGTCCTTAGTTGGGGTTTGCAGTAATGCCATGGAAGAACCATTTTTGGTTCCCCAAAGAAACTTTCAGTACAGAACCATTTTTTCTTAGTGTAAAAAACCTTTTAATAATCTAAAGAACCTTTACCTAACCTTTTGCGCAATGGAATGATGTTAAAAGGTTCTTCGTGGAACCATAAATGCCAACAAAGAAGAGTATGCAAAGCAGTGCATTATCCAGAACACATGTACTATGCTGATGATAAAATGTACACAGCATGCATGCCCGGCCTAGCCTACACATAAAAATCGAAGTATAATTCGTGCTTAAGATCCTTTTAACACTTTGCTTTCAAATGCAAGTGATTTACATTAATGCGTTAGGTTGACGGGTTGCACTTTATTTTATAGTACAAGAAAGTACTGGGTAATATAAAGGTAACTGGTTTAATGGTTATCACCTAGTTAGTACCCAGTGATTGTAATTACAATAAATATGTGCACTGGGAATCAGGACTGCAAAATAAAGTGCTACCCGCACTTCAATGTATTCTTTTTATCAGTTCATACATTTCCTAAGAATCAAACCCATGACCTTGGCATTGCTGCTAGTTTGAGCAACAGAAATGTTTCCATTAACGATTGGATCATCACCCAATCAGAACACACTTTTGCACATGTCTGTTAAGCACATGAACAGCACATGTATAGTAGGTTCTGTTCTCTCGCAATATTATAACCAATAAATCGTGCAATGTTTCAGATACATTTTCTGAAGAGCATATTGATAGTGGACAGGATTATGTGCGACGTCAATCGGTCAATACAGATATGATGACTAGATAGCTTTACAGTAAATTACACATGCAGACAAGAGTCCAATTAGAAACACATTTTCTCGTCTTTTCAATACATGTTTGCACAACATCCACATACAGGGCACTTGTTAATGTTAATGTAAGTCTGAATGGCGTCTAAAAGCTCAGACAGGTCAAGAAGAGTACTCTATATTACACCCAGTGAGTTAGCTAGTGTGGATCCTGCAGTCCAGACATCACTTTACTGTAAACTGTCATCTACGAGATCAAATTCATGAAGCAATTTATGAGTTTATGAGGATGCAAATAGCCTGAGAGATGAATTATCATACAAAATTTATACTCATAACAGATAAAGGTAGAGTGTACTTGTGTGTGGAGGAAGGCAGAAGGATTCTGCCTATTATAATAGGACAGAAAAATAAAGTTTCTGTAGGGGGGCTTTTTGAGGACAAAAGCCCCCAGCAGAGTAAATGACCAGAGATGAGGAGAAGGAGGGGCCGAGGAGAGGACCGGGGGTCCATTGCTGCTCACTCGAGCATTCCTTATGAAATCATCAACCAAATCCTCACTCAAATGCAACTGTTGTCAATGAACTCCCTTGCTCTCCTCCCCTTCCTCTAGAGCCCTGAAAGAGAGTCCATTCCAAAACCCTCTCTAAGGCTGGATTAGGATGCCAGCACATGTATTGTGAGCTGCTGTGTGTGTGTGTGTGTGTGCTCATTTCACACATGAGTGTGTGCCATTGTTTGTGATGTGTGAGAGAGTACAAATTATGACAGGGAGAGAGAAAGAAAGATAGAGATAGTGGAGGGGAAAAAGAGCTAATCTGCACCTCTTAACGTAGTTCAATTTGTGTGTGTGTGTATAGTGTGGACTCTGGATTCAGGGCTTGGATCCACTTTACATGAGAAAACCAGGCTTATCCCAAATATTTATCCGTGCTGAGAGAGACGTTTCCCTTGCCTTTTTATCCCTACAGGAATCCTATTCTTCTTTCCCTCCTTCTCTTTCTTAAGCTCACACTCTCTTTCTCTCCCACCACCTTCTTTTTTCACTCTTTGTTTACAATGACTCAGCTTACTCATTTGCTAAAATTGAATATTTTTCAATTATGAATTTATTACATGCTCCATCAACAGCTTCTGTAACCACAGAAAAAGATAATCCTTCAATTTAAAAAAAAAAAGAAAGTCTATGGGACAAAGCAGTACACACTGTTTTACACAATGTTTTGAAAATATATTATGAAAAGTATACAAAACTTATACAAAAACTTGCAAAAATGTACATTTTTATGTTCTTGTATCATAACACAATTTGTATTATAACGTATTGTATACTATACTATCCTATATCCACTTCCAAGTGTATACTGTATATACTACAAATAAAGGTGCTCTGTTAAACTGGGAAATGTACGCAGTGTGGCGTTTGTGTGTATGACTTGGTTAACTGAATACAGTTCAATGAGGTTGAACCCCTGTAAATCAAACTGGCTAGTGTTTATTGTTTGCTTGAACTATATGTTAGGAAGCAGGAGTTCTTTATGTTTGAGCATCAGGACAGACGGTGTACAGTGAGCATGGCATTGTTTCAGACAGCTAATGGGGATGAGATTGGTGCTAAATCAAGGGCGTCGTCATGGAAATGACCTATGACAGTGTAATTTCAGTATTTTCTGAGAAGCTCTGTGGGTATTCTCTCTCATGCTGCTGTAGTCATGACAACTCTGACATACTGTAATTCAATTCAGAGTCTGTAGAATCTTGTGTGTATGTGTTAACCAGTGGGATATTGCTTAAACTCATCATGCCAAGCTACGTTGATACATTCGTGACACTTCATGAGCAAAAAACACACACATACTCACTCACACTCCCACCCTGACCCTGAGATGGAGATGTAAACCGGCTCCATTCATCCAAGAGAAAGGCTCGGCAAGGAGAGGGAGGGGCCAGACCGTCACCCACGGAGACCAGAGCAGGGAGTCATGGGAAAGATAAGCTGTGGGAGTGAAGCGAGGTAAGGTGAACATCTTTTCACACATTTAATCTTACACAGACAAACAAAAGCAACAGATCAGCACCGAAAATAAGTTTGTGTAAAAATATCACATCAATACCTAGTTTATCACTTCACATATGTGTCTCGTTAAAATAATACAAACAGTCTTTTTGCAGCCGTGTATCGGAACCAGCTGTTTAAGAAACAAACCGATCAGTAATTGCTTCGTGCGAGATTTGCAACGCTGCAGTTCTCACCCTGCCCACCAGGGGGAACTAGAGACACACCTCCCCAATCTCCACAGCAACAAAATGAAACGTTTTACATCAACAGCCTCTCTCAGGATGTCTTCCACCACACCCTAAAACTCTCACACGCTCCCCGGCAGTTCAGCACACCGCTTTGAATTTAGCGTGAAAGCACGTCTGAAATGAGAACGTTAGTGATGTGTGTAATTGAGACGTTATGAAGTCATTCAAATCCAGTGGATTGAATGGAACCCCGACCCTCCGTTCTTCTCTCCTCCCCTTCCTCTACGGCCTTGAATGAGGCTCTGTTCTAAAGTGCTACATGCAGACCCTTTGACGTGACGTGTGTAAATGAGTTTGTCTGTGTTGCGCATGTGAAGACACATCTCAATCTCATGCGTGTGTGTCTGTGGGAACGTCTTCATCAGACATTTCATCCTGCACTCCACCCTCTGCAGGAACAATGCATTAGATCAGTCCTCAGACTTCACAAGCTGAACAAAGACCTACGCTGGAAAACACACTCTTGGTTTCTAGGCTGAGAGGAAAAGTGATTGTCCTGAAATTGCACGGCGTCTCTTTGATGTGCTTCTCGTATTCTCGAATAGCTGAGCTTGAGGAAGAGAGGTGCTAAAAAAGGAATGCAGGTCAGTTACATCACATCTAAACCAATTATTGTGTACCAGTGATGTCATTAAGATGATAGAAAACACAACTGCATGTTGTGAGTGTTCATTTTTCATCCTCCTAAGGCCCACACAGTATGAATTTACAGATGATTCACAGATTTCTCATTCATAAATGAATGAATCCATCCATCCATCAGTTGTTTTCATACTCATTTTATTGTTCTGTGACTAGGTACTAAACTTTCAGCCCATTCTCATCCCAAGGCGCCATGTAACTGGAAGAATTTTGACCATGCTTCAATATCCGACGCTTTAGGCACCCTTTAACGTCAGTTAGATGACGCTTTCCTAGTGGTCTAACCCTAACCTTACCCCAGACCTAAACCTACCCGGGTCATCTAACTGACGCTAAAGGGCGCCTAAAGCGTCGGATATTGAAGCATGGTCAAAATTGTCAGTTAGATGACGCCTTGGGATGAGAATGCATTGAAACATTTTCCATTCTAATGTGTGTTTTGGGTCATTGTCCATCTGTTCTGTGAAGCGTGTTTGCTGCATTTGGCTGAATCTGTGCAGACAGTTTATCCCTATAGACTCTCTATACACTTCAGAATTCATCCGGCTGCTTCTGTCCCACCATCAATAAACACCAGTGTGACCCAGTGCCACTGGAAGCCATGCATGCCCATGCCATCACACTTCCTCCACCATGATTTACAGATGATGATGTATGTTTTGGATCACAAGCTGTTCCAAGCCTTCTTAATACTTTTTTCTTTCCGTCATTCTGGTACAGGTTGATCCAAGGGCACGTTTACACGACAACGATGCACTAAAAAAAGGAAAAGTGCTTCCTTGTACAGACAACAGCATTGTCAAAATGATCCCCGTTCACATGGATCCACCAAAACAACTGAAAACGCTGTATTCTGCTGCCAGGCCAGTAGTTGTCGATGTCACTTTGTAAAGAAACACTATGTGTCAAGACTGAACACGTAATATGCATGCACATGACATCACCGGTTTCCCAAATTAACATTTTTGTAGTTTACACCGAGATGATAACTGTATCGTTTTCAAAAACTATAGTTGTCAGCCCAAAAAAACACAGTTGTCATGTAAATGAACAGCCGAAATGCATAAAAAGTTTCCAAGGAATGCTTTTCCAGAACTGGTCTGGTCTGGTTTTGGTAAAGTCTAATCTGGTCTTTCTATTCTTGGGGCTTCTGAATGGTTTGCACCTTGTGGTGAACCCGATGTATTTTCTCTAGTGAAGTCTTCTCGTAATTGTAGACTTGGACAATGACACATCTACCTCCTGGAGAGTGTTCTTCACTTGGCTGGATGTTGTAAAGGGGTTTTTCTTTACAACGGAGAGGATCCTGCGAACACCCACCACATGTTGTCTTCCATGGATATCCAGGCCTTTTTATTGTTGCTGAGATCACCATGGCATTCTTCTTTTCTGTGTAACTGTTGATTTGTCCATTCCTAATGTTTCTGCTATCTAACGATGGTCTGTTTCACTTGCATGGAGAGCTCTTTTGACCGCATGATGTGGGTTAAGAGCAATTGCTTCCAAATACCACATTTAGAAGCAACTCCAGACCTTTTACCTGCTTAGCTTAAGAAATAATAGATCACACTTGTCCATAAAAAACGCTTTTGAGTCAATTGTCTAATTATGATTGGTCCTTTGAAAAAAAAAAGTGGGGGTTCACTTTCAAGAGCTGTAATTCCTAAATGCATAAACCCTGGGTCAGTTGTGGTCTGATGGTTAGAGAGTCAGACTTGTAACCCAAAAGTCCTGGGCTTGATTCTCAAAATCGACAGGAAAAGACTGAGGTGCCCTTGAGCAAGGCACCTAACCCCCCAATTGCTCCCCAGGCGTGTTCACTACTAACTGCTCCTAATGTGTGTGCACTATGGGTTAAGTGCAAAGGACAAATTACAAGTATGGGTTACCTTTAGGGCTTGACACTTTAACACCCACCAACCTGCTGAATGCAGGTGGATTTCAGCAGTGGCGTGTAACAAAGTCACTCCTATGAGCCATTTAGGTAGGTTGAATTTTACATACATTTTTTAATTGTAGTCTTTTAAAAGGGTATCTGGAAATATCAAGCTAGTGCATAATTTTACCCAATGTCACTATTTTGAAGCGCCGCGTGTGTACGTCATTCATTGTTTACACAGAGATTTCGAAAGTGTTACTTTTCACTGTGAAGATCTAAATCTATTTAGATGTACACGAAATCACAATCAGAGACGATTTCGATATATCAACAGATAACATTAATTTTTTTTCTCACAACCGCGCGAGAGATCACTTCCGGCGCTTGCGCAGACAGAAGCGCCCGTGCTCTCAGACCTCTTTGACATGGCTGTGGTTACAAGCGGTAAAAACGATATAAATACTGTTAATTTTCTCAGACAAACCACTTGTTTCGTGTCTTAGACAATCATTATGTACTAGCATTTCCGAGTCATTAAATCATGTTTAATTTGGACTTCTCTGTGCATGCTCTTTGAGGTGGCTCAAATATCAAAATTGAAAATACTGTGGAAACAAAGACACCTACATCTTGGATGCCATCGAGGTAAGTTAAAACATACCAAAAATTAATTTCAAAGTGAACTATCCCTTTAAACAGTCAAATACACACAAAATAATGTCAAAAAGCTGGTCTTGGCGAGTATTCACATAAAAACAGCCATGTTTTAAGTGAATGTAAACAGCTGAGAAAGAAAACGCATGTGTAAAAGAATAAAAGATCTGTGCGTCAGGTCTTAAAGTGTCAGCAGCCTAATATACAAGCTGCCAAATTATTATATAATCTTAAAAATATCTATATGGCAGTTTTCCCCCATGGTATTAATGTCAAAATTGTGGCCAGTGAAAAAGTTGAGTGACTAGTAACTGGAAAAAAACACTAGCCACGGTGGCTGGCGAGCAAAAAAGTTAATGTCAAGCCCTGGTTACCATACTTGGCCTTCACTAAACGTCACTCCCTCAAATTAAACCATCAGATGTGTGTAAAAACACCTGTTTTTGTCAGTTTTCAGATTAGTGTTCATGATATCAATAGCTACTGACGCTGATTAAAGAGCATCCTGACTCTCTACTTGATTTTGCATCATTAAACACACAATGACACACAATAACTCCAAACAGCATGAACCCTGGCAGGGAGTGTGTTATCATACAAGCACAAGGACTGCATGATGAAATGACACACACACACTCTCTCTCCTTCAAAAAGCACACAAACACACACCACATGCTGTTTGAAGATAGAGCTGATAAGAGAAGGGATCTCTCTCGCTCTCTATGACACATGGACACGGCCAAGCACTACATCACTCACTTGTGTGATGTGACAGGTCAAGATAAGACCGGAATGAGCTCCTCATCACTTTAAAAAATCTGTCCTCATCATCCCATCCTTCCCCTCTCTTTCACTTTCTTTCCTAACAACTGCACAAAACTTGTTTCTGCATCCTGACTGAAGATCTCCTAGATTGTAATTGTGGTTTGTGTGCGCTGTTGTTAAGCTTGCAAGGAAACGGAAGCAACATGAAACCAGAGCAGTTTTGGACTCATCTTGTGGTGTTTTTGTTGAGATGCTCAGATTAGAACCGAGCGGATCGTATGTCTCTCACCACATACTGACCAGCTGGACACAAGCAAAAGCGAATGTGATCTTACCGCAAGTGTAGCAGGCCATCAATTTAGTTTCCCAGCAACTTCCTTTTTGTGCCATAGAATAGGATATTTTATATTTTATATCCTTTTTAAAATCACAAATTTATATATTTTCTGAACACAGATTTTATTTTTAAGTTAGTAACTGAGTAAAGGATTGAAAAGTAGAGAGTTGACAGTTGTCCTGTGTGCCAGCTGAGTTGTGTTACCTTACACTGAAGCTCAAATAGTGGAGGACAGTGCTGGCAAGTTTTGATTCACAACAAATGACAGAAATAATTAGATGTGTCCCTGAAATGTGATGTAAATATGTGTCTAATGCACAGTAATGTCTCATGCAGCATTGTTGGATGTTACTATTAAAAGTAATATGTTACTATGCAGCAGTAGTCATTATGAAAAGAAACCACTCAGGTA